ATATATATAAGTCATGAAATCCTCAATATATTTTATTGTTCTGTTAAATAAAATTTGTATTTTATAATTCGAAATATTTGTATTTTATTTTTACACAGATTAAATCAGTGTACGACAACTTCAATATGCACTAGTGCGCACTATTACAACCAAACTTGCTATATGCTTAGAAATAATACATTTACTTTGAAAAAGTTCTAAAATTTTTTACGCAAATTTACGTATTTCTTTGCACACGTGTGCTTATACAAAAAAGTACTTAAGACAAAAGTTACTTCTTATTATTATTGCAAGGACTCATAATTTGCTAGTAATTTAGATATCGAATATTTTGCAATTACGTAGTTTACAATACATTTACATAAGATAATGATATAATTAATATAATAACTATTGTGTGTCTTATTTTAATCAGTCAGTTTTCTCCAAAATTATTGATAATACAAAAAGATAGTTTCAGAAAATAAAACGATTTCGAGGAAATATTTTGATCTCCCTTTTTTTCTAAATAGAGGCTCTAAAAAAATATGAAAATTATCATATTTTTTAAAATAATATTATCCATTTTACGAACATCTACGATTGTAGCTCACCTCAAAACAAATACAATGATCACAGACAAAAATCATCCAAGTTTCAACTGGATATAGAAAAATTGAAATACAAAATTTATCTTCTATATACGAATGTGCTCTCGCGGGTATTAGCTAGAAATTTTGAAAAAAAATTTTGCTACCGATGCTACATAAGAACTCAAAATTATCGTTTTTTGTTCTTTGATGTTATTTTTGTCAAAATTGACATGATAGCCAAATTTAGGAAATAGATTTGTGCTCAGCAGGCAAAAATATATAAAAAAAACAATTAAAATGTTAAAACAAATTTTTTGTAGGCTAGCTCTGTTGTAGTCTTATTTCGAACTTGACATCAGATAAAGGCAGTCGTCTGTAACTGTAGATAATAATAATAGTAATAATATTGCAGTGGCCATACAAAATAGTCATCACCAAACGATAAGCGACTGATTAAATAGTGGTTAAATGCAGGCAATTAACCACAATGATGACAAAGATAAGTGCAACACAGTTCATTTTATTTGCTGATAGTATGAACACGTGTCCAATTAGTAGCCCCAATAATGATCGGCATAGCGCTTTACCATTCTGCATGGAATATTTTGTTACATAACGTTGAGTCATAACTCAATGTATATAACAAAATATTCTACTTTGTCCGCTTTCAAATATGTATATTTGGAGTATTTGCCTAAAATTGTATAATTGTGACTCAGTCATATATGCTTTAATTTATTTTTTTTTAATCGATTATTAAATTGTCACATCTAATCTGCATTTATCTCTTAATAAAAATATTTTATCATAAAATCAATTTTACACAAATTTATAAAAATGTTATAATTTTTCCTCAATAAGTCATAAATCGTCGAGAGTGATGTATGTCATAGAGATCAAATTAAAAATTAATAATTGTTTAATAACAATTTTGAATGAAATAATATATATACGATATATGAGATGTTAAAAACGATCGGGTGATATAATACTATATATATACGATATATAGAATGTTAAAAAAGATCGGAGTAAAACTTGTACAAAGTATTAATGAGATCAAATGAGGTAAAAAAAGTTCACAAACTTAAACCAAAAACGTTTTATTGAAAAATTATAAATGTTCAAAGATTTTTATCGATTGTTATAATAAATGTTCAAAAATTCTTCCTTCAGCAAAAATGCAGGCTTTCATTCGTTAAACTGTCAAATTATTTCGAATATTCTTACACATATACTTACGCATATACTTTATATTTTTTTCCGTGTAATATCTATTATGTTTAATAGTAACAATTAAGGATATCTGAAAAGTATCTGGTATCCGATATTATCCGGTACTTTTTTACTACAATCCGAACGGATAATAGGATATTATTAGTATATGGGAATATATTTGGTTAAAATTTTATATTATTAAATTGTTGACTTTTTTATTACATAAATGTTCTATAAATAAGTATGCATACTCAATGCTATAATATCTTATATATACTTGCAAATTATAATTTTTTCTCTATAGTTTTTTTTAGAAGACATTGTTCCGGAATTCGATCGGATATCTCGAAAAACTGCCTTCCCAGATATTTGACCGGTTACCGGATATCTGATGTATTCTTTTCGGACATCCGATAATTTTATGATCCGGCTTATATATATATAACAATATTTCTTCTAAAACAGTTCGATAAATCATACATAATATATTGTAGCAATACATATCACTAATAAAAATTATTAAATATAATTTATAAACCCATTTAGGTTGATTATGTTCTCCGATTATATTTCCCTTTACATAATTTCAATAATTTAATGAACTGAGAGTTATCTTCCAGCTTTTGTTGGGATACTATTATCATGTGTAATAATGCAACAATATATTATAGCATATCTTGAGAAATATGCATGTAAAATAACAGTTTTCAATAAAATGCATATTTTACACATTAACACGCATTGCTAATCTGCTTGTTAGTGATTGTATAAATTCTAACACGGAGCAATGTGTTAATTCATAAATCATTTAATTTCTACAATCGTTATAAATTACACTAAATCTATTAAATAAAGATGTTCCCACACATTCATTTTAAAATTAATTACAATTACATTTTTTAGAAATAAGCCTATTCTGTTAGAATTGGATCCTATTAATATTTTTAAAAATATTTCTGTATTAATTTATGCATATTCTTCAGTTGTGTAAACCGTGCAAATACTTCTTAAAACATAGTCTTAAACTGAAGTTGAAATAGTAATATCATAAATTAAATTATTAATTAATTAATTTGATAATATTAATGTTAATAAACGTCTTTAAAATTCAAACATTTATTTTAAAAATAGTACTTATATTATGCAAAAATAATACTAATATAACATGATATATTATTCCCCAATGATCGAATTAGTAAAGATATTCAACCCGGATAGTGGAAATGCGCCAAAAGTCATATTCTCGAAAAATATCGCATACAAAAATGTATAAAAGTACTAAAGGTAATTACGTATATGCATAATACAGCTTTTTTTATTTTTTTGTATGCAATACTTTTCAAAAATCATAGATCAGGTTCGAAGATCGGTCAAGATGATATTTTTCGCAAAAAATACTCTACGAATTTTTGAAGATTTTTATCAGCGCGTCAGTATTATAGTAATTGATTATTAATTTAATTTTTTATACTATTATTCCAACTTCGATTCATGTCTGTTTCAAGATCAAAAATATTCGGCGTGCAGAATTGGAAGATAAAATTAACACAGAAATATAATACTAAAAAAGCACTAAGATCCAACTCTGATCAAATAGATTTATTTCTACTTGTGATAAGTTATGTAGTATTGCCATTTCGATTGATATTATTAATAGCTAAGATTTTTATTACGTGTTTGTACATCTAAAGTATTCGCGATAAATCTTTTTTCAGTAAAAAAATGTCAACGTAAGAAATGAGTAATTATCAACATTTTAAAAACATATTTGATAAATTATTTGTTTATATTAACCACACAATTGAATTTTGTATTATATAAATAAAAAATTGTATTTTTTAAATATTATATTTGTTCTTTAACTGATTTATAAATGGTTATAACTATTTTTTTATATGTATAAAATGCAAATAAATATGGAATAGAATTTTATTTTATTTTAAGGAATATAACCAGTAAGACGTATTCGCCATAAAATAATCATAGCAATTTTAGTATATAATTTTTAAAAAATCCTAAAAAAAACTTAACAAAAATAAATATGAATCTGAAATGACAAATAAAAAGTAAAATATTAAATACCAAATAAAATACAATATAATCTAAATTTAATAAAATAGCTACAAATGGAAAAATATTCTTAAAATATATTTAAATTTATGTAATATTTTAAGATAATCGTTTAAAATAGAAAAATTCGATTCTTATTTACTTATGAAAGTCGTCTATGTATTTATTATAAATGTTGTTTCCGTCTTTATGGCCACATGAATTTAACCACAATTCCATTTGATCACAATTGTTGTCACTTCGGCAGATTCAGCCACTTGAATTAAATAACATTTTGAGATTTTTATTTATTCATATTTGTGATAAAAATAACTTCTGTTTTCTATAAGAAATTTAATACTTCAAAATATCAAAATTCAAAAATCGTTATTCACGACATAACTATTGCAAAACCTCAGAACAAACAAGTCAGTTGTAGAATCTATGATGGCCTAACTATTACTGAAGCAGTACTTGCAACGGATCCAATACAGCTACGGACTTCACAACCAAAATGATTACAATCGCAGTACTTGATAGCAGTACGGTGACAGTGAATAAAATTGATGCAACAACCGCAGGTGAAACAAGTTCTACAATGGCTATACGATTTTCTAAAATATCCAGTCACGTCATTATGTCCGAGATTTCAAACGACAGAGTAACGTTAAAATTCTAGATTAATCGTAATGATTATCATAACAATAGTGCCGAAAATCTGTGTAGAATAAGAAGACAGTTAAAGTACACAATATTTAATATGAAATTGTTGTCTATACTTTCATCCATTCTTTTAAAGATTTCAAAATTGATAATATTAAATCAAAAAGAGAAACAACAATCAATATACGTATAGAGATATATTCATCAGATATTTTTAACAATAAAGAAAATTAGACTTTATTTATTTATCCTTAAATATTATCCCTTATTTATTCTTTATTTTTCCTACGTACATTACATAATTATTTAATCACACATATACACACACGTGTACACACACAGAAGAATGTAGTATTTAGTTATCGCTGTTGCAGTGACTCTGTATATAATTTTCTAGTAATTTAGATATCGAATATTCTGCATTTACTTACTCTATGTTATTCTTACGTAAGGTATAGATAATAAGTTAACATGAGTATATATAGTTCTTGCAAGCGAGTACCATACAATAGTAAATATTCCTCTTTACCTTCTTACAATCCTCTTAGAATTATATTGGGTAAATACTTTTAAAAATATGTTATACAAATCGTTCACGCGTAAATGTTTAATATATATTAATGTATTACAATTTTGCTCTATTTCTCATAGTTTTTATTAGAATATCAAGGAAGGAGACACTGAAAGAAATCCGTAACAATGGCTTTCTTAAAATACGTAAGTTTTATTCAGTAATGGTTGTTTAACTATTGCTTGCAATTTTTGCACGTTAATAAAGTCGAAAACAGTTGAAAAAGTTTTTGAATATTATGTTTATAATTTTTTGAAGTTACCTTTCACACACACGCGCGCATGCGCAAACATACTCGTATATAACTTATTTTTGTCTCCTTCGAAATATTTTCTCTTTTGTAGTCGATATCTCTTTCCTAATCGAAGAGAAGAGAATTTCAAAGAGCATTTTCGACAAGATTAACTAAATTATAAATACCCAGAAAATTATAAAGGTTAAGTTCAAAAACTTTTTAAACAAGCTCATATTTTTGAAATTAATATAATGTGTGTTAAAAATTTCAGGTCTTATTTTTCTTACTAACAGTGATGCTAGCGCATCATTATACTAAATCTACATCAGTTTTACGGGGCGCATCTATACGGGACGCATCTATACGGGACGCACCTATACGGGACGCACCTATACGGGACGCACTTATACGCGACGCATCTATTCGAAAGATAAAAAGTATGCCTCTATGATATTTATTAAATATACGTCTACAAGGTGTCCCGAAATTCAAGGGAAATGTTATTGCAACATGAAATTTCATGAACAATTAAGTAACAAAAGTATAAGTAACTTTTTCCGTAAAGCAGTCTTTTTAAGTATAAATGTTTAAAGTTTATACATAAAAAGACTGCTTGATGGAAAAAATGGCTTATATTTTTATTAACTAATTTTTCACAGTTTTGCGTTACAATAATATTATCCCTCAATTTGAGGACATCTTGTGTATATTTACAATAAAAAGTACATCAATTACTAATGTTAATTTATTTTTGATATTAAATCTAGTTACCAAGCCTACAAAAGAACCAACAGAACCAACTATAACAAAAGAACCAACAGAACCAACTATAACAAAAAAACCAGACGATTCAGATTGTAAAAAAAAAAATGAGAAAAAACATTATAAAAATAAAGAAAAAGGGAAAAAATAAAAAAAAAGAAGGTCAAATGAAAATGATGAGCCAGGTGACGAAGAAAAATCAAAAATAAAAAATGGAAGTGATGGAAAAAATAAAAAAGATACTGATATAAAGACCAAATAGACACCATACTGATACAATACAAGAACCAGAAAAGAGAACACCCGCCTTTCCAAATGACAACTCCAAAAGAAATATATAAGTCCTTGATAAATAATTATTAGAAAACTTATTCTAATTTGGAATATAAACTAACCAAGAATTACTTTTGTTTCTAATCAATATCTTTCTTTCATGAAATTCTATAAATATTAAAATAAGCACTAATCTTGCACTATAAAATATGATTATTTCTACGCACTTATAATTAAATAGTTTAAAAAAAAATTAATAATCAAATAACAGCCTAATTGTAAAAATAAAATAAAAGATTAAGCAGCAAAATATATATTTCTCAATTTTATTTCGTTTTACATAATAAAACTATTATGATTAATTTATTTAAATATGAGAAGCGCTACTTGACGGTCAAAGTTAGCTAAACGGTCAAATGTTGAGCTAATACATATACGTATTCTTTAAATGAATTTAAAAGAAATATTATTGCGCGCCGGATTTTCAACGCATCTATCTATAACATTAATCATCTCTCACAAATTTAATCTTAAAAATCTTATTATTATTATAATTAAATTGTAACATATAAACATTAAATCATAAAAAAAATGCTAAAAAATTATATATGTATATTTACATATATACATTAATATATGTATATTTAATATTAAAGCAGATGATGCAGAACTGCGAAAAAATCAAAATTACTGAGATTAGTCCAAACGTATTTTTCAAAATGTCTCTAAGTTTGGTATTTCAAACTTATGTCAATATGATGCATTCTTCGTGCAATGATAATACAATACATTATCCAGTCCGGAAAAAATTTAGTGATATCGTCTCTTCATAAAATAGTGCAAATACAGCATTCGACTACACTAATTACGATCATACATCAGTACAGTAAAAAATATTAAAAAATAACAATGTCTTCTGAAAAGAATCAATGTTATACTATTCATTCGTAAAATATACAGTAAACAATTTGAAAGTCAATTAAGAAACACTAAGTAATTTCAAAAGAAATTAGTCAACAATATATTGTTATTTATTTTACCTTTTTTATTATTAGTATCACATGATAGTATACCCTTTCTGTTTTGACATAAGACAGCTTACAATCTGATCGGTTTTTAACGAATTTATACTTGTATAAAACACACAGACACACACACACACACACACACACACACACACACACACACGCACACGCACACACACGCACACGCACACGCACACGCACACGCACACACATACACAATATTTCTATATGCGAAAAGTCGTCTCTAAAATAGTAATCTGTGCGCCTTTGAAATAGTGATGAACATTGTCATAACTTTCGCGGCCATAAGAACTAAATACAAAATACGAACATGCGAATGATGCGTTGGTACTATTATATAACATGGCATCTTGCCTTCGTCTGACCGTGATTAAAAATAGAGATTAAATGGACAGGAATGCGTAAAATGTTACAGAATAAATGCGCATTGGGCTAGCAAGACGAAAAAAAATCCTCCGATATTCGCGCAAACGCCTATTCCTTTTACGCGAGAGAGTAATTGGATAATTGGTATGGCGTTGAGGCAATTTCCGACAATTACCGGAGGAGGTATCATCGCGCAATATAGAGACCTCGGCATCAATGGTGATACAATGGACTGCGAAATAGAGGTCGTTGACTGGCCGATTCAAACTCTATTAGCTCCTAAGATGTATTACATATGTTAAAATAAGCTCTTGACCACTCAAATATTATTCGTTCGCCAATCCAATGGTGCATAATAAATTGTTAACATAACTAAAAATTTTATTGTTTCTTTAACACATTAGCTTGTTTTTAATCAATTTTAATATAATTTATAGTAAGATATTAAACTTTTCTTTTTAACGTCAGAAAAAAAAATTTTTTTTAGGAGTACTATATTTTAATTTACCATAAATTTATCACAAATTTATATATAAACGAGCTGTAGGAATGAGTGTAGAAAGAGGCAACAAGCAAAAAGTTTCGTTTTCCAAAAGTGCAATGCATTTATTCTTATTATATGTAACATTATATTATACGAAACTTTTTTTTGTTATGTACATAGATATACATATGTAAGAAATATAATAATAAGAAATATGCTGAATGACAAAGATCATGATAGAGATCGTATTCGAGATTGTGTGCGTCTAAGATATCATTTTCGGAGATCTTTAGTTCATGTTACTAGGAGACGTAAATTACCGGTGTTGAGTATACGGTGGATAAGGTAATATCATTCATGCATGTCCACCACATGTTCTGCAGCGATGCTGTCGAATGGGCGATCAAAGTTGGAACTGCGATAGGTTCAACCAGAGCCGCTGAACGTACAGTAGGACTAACAATCTTTGTTCCACATGGACTTGTATAAGAAATATAAAGAATATAATTCTTTATTTTAAATACACACAAAATAAGGGACATGCGCATTTTCAATGTTCTAAACATAAATGTAATGATTCTTTAAACAAAGTTTTTTTATATATTTAAATTAGCAAATTCGGAATAAACAAGTAATTATATTGATTCACTTCTGTGGTTGTGAATGAAATAATATATTTTTTTACCTCAAAAATGCTAGTTTTATCGAATACAGGCGGTTCTAGCATCCCCTTAAATTTGCAAAATATCGATAATTATTTTTTCTACTTAAGTTTACTTAGTTAATAGTTTAATTTTTCTATCGAAAATATATTACGGAAAAAAGACTTATCGTGAATAAATTTTAGAAGCTGGCCGTATTCGGATTGGACGTACACACGCTTCATAAACTTTATTCTATCTTCCTTCCATATACCTAATGAGCGATGAAGAGCTTACGGCGCGTGAGTGTCGAACCAAACGCAGCCAAAATTTAAAGTTTGGTTGCAATAAATTTTTTTTCAGTGATATATTTTTAATATGAAAAATTAGTAATTAATAATATTTTGAAAATATATTAGAGAAGTAATAAGTTTTTTCTGTATACCCCTGCATACTAAGATTTTGTCTAAATATTAAGTAAAATTGTATTTTTTAAACGTTGTAATGTTTATTCTGTAACCGGTTAAGAAATAGACAATGATTTTCATAAATAAAATATGGTTAAATTTTAATTTTATTTTAGCAACTGTAACCAATTAAGATATACTTATTTGTCGTAAAATAATGATAGCAATTTTAGTATATAATTTTTAATAATTTAAAAAAAACTTGAAAAATAAAATGAAATATTAAAAGCCAAATAAGACACATGTTAAATTATTTATAATATGATCTAGAATTAAGTTAAAAGATGGCTATATAAATGGAAGAATATTGTCTAAATGTTTTGTATAAATTTATGTAATAACTTAAGATGATCAATTGAGACAGAAAAATTTGATTATTTGTAAGAGTCGTCTATATATTTATTACAAATGTATACTTTTGTCGCCAGATGAATTTGACCATAATTCCATTAACAATCATAACTGCTGGTGCGACGATCGCTCTCGTAGACTCAGCCACAATACGCGAAGTTACAATTAATAATATTTTGAAGTTACGATTTATTCATATTAGCAACACAAACAATTTCTATAAATTATAAAAACTTTAATGTTTGAATTATTTGAAATTAAAAAGTCGTTATATGTAACAGAAAAGAATCACAACTGTTGCAAAATCTATAACTAATCAGATCACGGCCGCGGAATTTGTAGGTGACTCAGTCACTGCTGCTGAAGCAAGTCCAATCAGTTATGGGTCCTGCAATGGACCCAACTATTGCAGTTACGGAAATTACAAGTCGATTACAATCACAAAACTCAATGCACGTCTAACGACGGCGACAGAGGGTAAAATTGATGCAACCGCAGGTACAACAGGTTTTGCAACAATCATTTTCTGAAATATCCAGCATATTTGCGTCATTATGTCCGAGATTTCAACCAACAGAGTGAGGTTGAAATTCTGAACTAATCGAAATGACAAAAATCTATGTAGTATAAGAAGATAGTTAGAATATTTAACATAATATTTAATATAAAATGATTTTCTTTGTTTTCATCTTTTCTTCAGAAATTTAGAATTAATTTTACTAAATCAAAAAGAAAAAATACCAACTTATATACAGAAATATTTATATAAGATTAGATACATAAAAATATTTTAATCGAAATAAATAAAGAAAATTAGATTTTCTGATATCTATTTTTCTTGAATTTTCTACGTAAATTGTACAATTATTTTATCATACACACAGATGAATCTACACTTAGAACAAAAATTGCTTGTCATCGCTATTGCAGTAGCATGTATTACAATATAATACATTATCCAATCTGAGCGAAAAATTAATGGCATTGTTACTTTAATACGAAACAGCAAAGTGCAGACATAGCATTTGACTATACATATTAGAGAATCCAACATTACGGTCATAAATTAATACGAAAAAAATAATTAAAAAATAACATTGCCTTTTAGAAGGATCAATTTATTATTTATTTCTAAAATATGCTGTAAGTTTTTAAAATCAACTAAAAAGCTAAATGATCTCAAAAGGATTCAATCCATCAACAAAATATTCTTATTAATTTTTTATGAGTATTAATATGCAGCACACAATTAGATCACGTGTCTTGCACATTTCTTTTCTTCAAAAAAGGGGAGCATTAAGAAATTAGTTATAATATTTACAACTTTTTGAATACACAACTAACAAATACTTTCTAAGATGTTACAACTACATATAAGAAGAATTTACTAATTTTTGTATATTTGTTATTAGTGAAAATTAACTCGGAACACGAATGACCTATCGTAGAATAAAAAACCGGAAAATCAGAATTAATGTGTACTAAGAATTATCACATGTTTGAGCACATACCTGTTCTATTTTATATATATGTAACAGCATATTCCAGCGAAGGTTTCAATCTGGTCTGCTTTTTAAGAATTTATACTTGTTGCACAAAACTTTGTTTCTATAAGCATACAGTCGTCTTCGAAATAGTAATACGTGTGTGGAAGCGTGAATGTTGCCATCATTTTCGCAGCCACAAAAATTCAATACAAAATACGAGTGTGCAGACAGTGATGTACTGATATTGTTATGATACGGCGTCTCGCATTTGTCTGACCGTGATTAAAAATGGAGATTAAAAACCCGATAAAAAGCGTAAAATATTCTAGCATAACTATGCATTGAGCTAGCAAGTTGAAAAAGGAAATACTTCAATATC